CCAGAAGTGGGACTGTATCAGCTGTTACTTTAACTAACTCTTTACCGCCCTCAGTGGCTTAGCATTTGAATCGTTAATTTTTCCAGTTAAATCTGGAATAACTACATAACTAACTCTAATATTTTGCAGCAAATCTGTTAACCGGCATCATAGTAAGATAACGGTACGAGTTACGCAGTTGTAAAGCTTGTCTGTTATCATAATCTTTTCTATTGAATTCATCTTAGTCATATGTATTTGAGTTCATATAAATAGTGGATTTCCTCAAGATTGTCTCGCAGATAAGAATCAACGAGGTGCTTACCTCACGGGTATATGTCTGATTTCAAGGCCGCGGCTATGTGGGTCGTCGGTTCGACGCGAGCGCGCCGCTTGTTTGTACGGCCACCATCCATTAGAGCGACGCCCCGGATACTTCGGCGCGTTGCGAAAGATCCGCGGATCCGAATGGAAATCCGCGCGACGATCCGCCGCTTGATTGATACATCAATCGTGATCCGCGCAAGATCCGCTTAGAGCAGAGAGCCCTGTGTGTCGCAACCTCTCGTTTGGATAATTTCACGCGCGACGATGTCCTATGACGGTTCAGTGTCAGCTGACGATGTGGTTCGGGATTTGTGTCAGCTCTGTGTGTATTGTAGCCGAGATTAGGCCGTACTCCTTTTAACTTAATGATATGTTACTGACGCATAGTAACCATAATATGTATATGAGATACTATTTCTTTAGTGATTTGGATGACACAGCAATCAAAATACAGTTGGGTTACTCTGTAATAAAAGAAACGAAAAAGAAAAGAAAGGGAAGCACAATAACGAAAGAAAAAAAACAATTTCGATTCCTAAATCACTATTGTTATAATTACCTGTCTATGTGTATATTTTACTAAATTGTTTTCTTATAACAGCTAAATTCTTTCTCCGTTTTAATTCGACGTCAACCGTAGATACGAAAAATAAATTTTATCATCGGTCTATTTTTCAGTTTAGCACAATAATTATAATTTAATTATTCAAAATAATAAAATATTTAAATAAAAGAAATATTATATATTAATATATTATTATTATTATTAGTTCATTAGAAGCTTCATTAACATCTATTCAGTACTATTTGCGTGGAAGAGTAACAAACATCCATCCATACATACAAACTTTCGTTTATAATATTAGTAAGGATACATCAGACTAACACATAGGCTATAATTTTTATGCATATCTATCTTTCTGTCTGGATTTTACGTCTTCAGCCTACGCAGACGTAGTCGCGGGCAGCAGCTAGTATTTTAATATACGTCCGCTGATGGCTTCGTTTATCGACTGTCTCTTGATAGAACCGTAAATTAACTTTTGTCTGCCTTTCAGAAACCATCAAAGCCACCATTCGTATAAATCATTCAGGTGCTAAAGATACGCGATTAATTTTGTAAATTGGCACGCAGTCCACAATAATGTAAGACCTCACCTACGCTATGTGCATTACACTGTGAACATACCTCAAATTCTCCTTTAACCTACACATCTGTCTATATATCTGCCGACGTAATACAATGTTGTACAGTCTTCGCGTGTCAAGATGTCACTCGCGCCAGACTCTTCCCGAAATAGTCGAGGTGCAACGTCGGGTCTATTTTAACATTCAATTTATCGTCTCACCGTCGCGTCTGCTGCGATATCTTCGAATTTTTTGTTGCAAGTTAACGAATTGGGATTGGCTTAAAATTTTAAACTCGCTATTTTACCTTTTTATCGTGTGCGTATTGGTGAAGGGAAACCTCGTAAGGAAAACAGAATATTTTCGATACAATAACTCAGCCCAGGAAATTTGTTTCGGCGTCCTCCCTAAGATTTGGTGATTGCTTCTGAGAAATTTTGAGGCGCTGATTACGTTTTTTTTTTGTAGTTTTTGTTAAAACATTGCCCTCATTTAAAGATAACATTATCCTGCGTTGTGAGGACTTTTTACAGACATACATTTCGCGTAGACAAATGCGAAACAACTATCTGTGGTTACACCAATTGATGTATTTCTATAGACTGCTATCTCTTTCCGTATCATACGTTCTAAATCATCTGTCACATTCAGTTATATGTGTCATATAATGTTAAGCGAAATGGGTCGCACATATCGTTGTCTCGTCTGGGAGTCGAACCCACGACCCCCAACGTCGAAGCCAATACCTTGGCAACTGCGCCACGGAGTCATCGAAATCACTATTCAAACCTGATCAAATTATTTGGAAGATGTCTGAAGTCTGCCAATTTGCGGTGGGGTCTGTTATTGGTCTGTCAGTGAGCAGTGTAAAGTTAAGTTATAAAGGCCTATTATGTTCTTATTCTCAATTTTACTATAATCAATTGTCTGGTGTGATATCCATCTTCTTTTGTTTTTCTTTTTATAAAAACATTGTCACTTTAGGGTAACATTATCCTGTGTTGTAAGGACGTTTTACAAACATAATTTCACTCGGATAAACACCCAAATGCGAAACAACTATCTGTGGGTCACACAAATAGTTGTGTGATGTGTGGGAATCGAACCCACGACCCCGCCGCCGAAGCTAACACCTCTTCTCTCAACTTATCTGTTCTTGAATTCTATGTAAATTCGACAGGAACCGTCACAGTGCCCAGGTTTTCGAGAGAACTATCATATTATTCGTTCGTGTACACGAGTTGTATGGAATATTAGAAGGTCCGTTCGGCAACGTGGTGGAACGGGGAATACACATGAACGCCGCTCATGAAATATCCAATTAGCCGTACACTTCACGCAACATAAATTCCATCATTCAACGCCAAATAAGTGAAAAATTTACTCAATTCACGTACGTCAAACGAGACACTAAGCGAAACGGGAACGTTTGCAATACAACATTCAACTCGGCGTCAGTGCTGGCGCCGGATTAGTGTCAGTGAGCAGTGCACTATTAGTTTATAGTGCGGTAATAGTATGTAGCAAGTAGTACGTGGCACCGACGCGACGCCGCTACCTACGCTCCCCGACCGCCACAATCCAATTTGTCCGTCTATTCTCGGCTTATCGCTACCCGGCCCGCCGCGGGGATTCTCGCCCGGGACTTGTGTTCACTGCGCTTTTCATTTTATTATAAAAGTGCAAAATAGAACATGCCATGGTGGTCATCAATTGGTTGGCCCGGACGCATTCACTCATACTATGTGGAATCGCATTAGAGACTTGCGAAGACAGGTCCAATAATTTTTCACATGTCATCTCCAAATCTGTAATCATATCTATTTTTTAACGGTGGTAGAGCCACGCAGCAGCCTCGGCTGTTGCATGAATGTACAGGCTCGTCCAGGTAAGTACCACGATCTCACAGAAGACCGGCGTAAAGTGGAAGTATGACAAATACTTTCCTGTTTCGTCTGGTGAGTGAGGTAGCCGGATCCCAATTTCCAAAAAGGTTGTCAACGCATCTGCAAACCCTCGGGTGTAGCAGAGGTCTATGGTCGGCGGTATTCACTTAACATCAGGTGAACCGTCTGCTCGTTTGGCAACTTTTCGCATATAAAAAAAATCATTTACGATAAATTAGCTGGTTGCTCTCGGCTGCCTCGACGCGTTACATTTCATCGTGTGTAAAAATGTATCTCCGCGGATTAACATTCAGCTGTCATTTAATTGACAATCTTTAGAATGTGGATTATTCGGGTTACAAGGAGTTTATAATATTACCCAGCGATATAAAATACTGCTTCATTTACTGCATGCTTTGTCATTGGACGAATCTAGCCTCTTAGTTATAGTCCGTCTCCCATTAAGTTTTTGTTAGATTGATTCAACAATTCTTTTAGTAGTGAAAAATAACGAGAGATTATCCTAGAGTTTATCAAATTGTGACTCTATTGAAAATGTATTATTAAAGAAAACGGTGTGCCCACTGTTTTCACGCAGCATTCACTTCCCATATAGTCTGTGTTTAATATAGCAGTGGTTAATTAAAAACTCGTATTCACAAATCATTAAAAAGCTCAGTTCCACATTATTGTAATTTATTAAGCCGATTACAATTAAATAACAAGTTTGCGTTGGTCTTACGAAGCCTTATACAACCCTACAACTCCAATGGAATCGTGTAAGTAGTTTATATGTGAAAAAAGCATAAGATTTTTATCGCAAAGAAATGTTGTTGAAAAAAAAGTTAATGTAAAGTTTTTTGTTAAGTGAAACGAAAAGCTTTATTTATTTACAAAAATTACAATTTAAAACACTTGATTTTGATATTTATTTGAACACTGTACATCGTTGAATGTATGTCGAATGCACGCTCACAGGACACACTACATTACTATAAAGACATGTTATCGAATTATTATTTTACCTGTCGCAATTTTTTAGACCGTAGATAATACGTAGTTCGAAAGTACGTAGGAGCTATGAAATTAATTGCTATTATCCTGGAGAGAAATATGTTTCGTGAAAAAGAAACATTTATACTATTCTAATTATGTTCACACACGGAAACAGAATCGGACAATAATATTGGCTTTGTATGTATGAGAATAATGTCTTGGCTATTAAAAATATTTATTTAATTTCTATTGAAAGTCTAAATGTTAGTAGTACAGTAATTTTAGTCACATCTTTACTGAACGCATTAAGGGCATCGAATGAATTCATCCATACATCCTTTGTTATTTTGAAGTCCTTTTTTATTTTTGACCGATAAGTACCTAATTATAATTTTTAAAAATAACTTTGGAGTAAGATAATTCGAGAAGGATTGCAAGCAAATATGGCAACACTGAGATTGACGCTCTGTAAACTCTTTAAATAATGTTAGACCGCTTTTAGAGTCGAAGGAGGAATCCAGATCCCGCTTATCATTCACCAATGTGAGTCATACAGACGTTCGTCCCAGATGGGAATCCAACCCACGACCCCCGGCGCCGGAGCCAATGGCTCAGCAACCACGTCACCGAGTCTGCATCGTCCTTAATTTTTAAATAGAACTGGACGTGCACGAAGAATACATAATGTGCGGAGTTTCGCAAATCCTTCTGACATCGGTGAGACATATGATGGATATGAGGAGTGACCTCCGTGGTGTTCAAGATTCGTGGCGATACCGCGAGCGATCCATCACGGCTGTCCAGGAACTGGTGCCCGCCGAGCACCATTTAATGGGATTCATTCGAGGGCGATCTCGCTCCGTCGTGGGGTGGCCCCGGCCGCGCGGGAGACGGGAGGCTTGCGGGTCAATAAAGCTATTAGACGGCGCTGCGATGCCCATTACCGATAGCCGGCGGGCGGAGGGAGGGTAGGGTCGCCACGACGACGCCGGATCTGTTTCGTCGTGCACCGACTACCGCTTCCTAGTTTATTTTTTTTTTATTTTTATTTGAAACTGGCCAGCGCTCTGACTGCCAACCCACCTGTTGTTAAGCGGCGATGCAGCCGCTGATGGTTAGCGCGCAGTAAAAACCCATTCACTCTTACCTTGAAGACGCGCCTTTTAATTCTAAAGGGACGGTAAACGAGCAAACGGTTTAGCTAGTGGTAAATGGTAGCCCGGATAGCTTTCCACCCCTCTCTCTGGTTTCCTGCAGTTTTACCTCAAGAGGGTGGGCCTCTTAAACGAACACAACAGCATAAATCTGCTTTCTGTTAGGCTCTGGTGCCTAATGGGTGGTGTCCAAAGAATTTTGCTCGTCCCTTGTTTTCGGCGTACTTTTCTGTTCCTCCACATCACAGCCAAAGACTATTAGGAGATTATTCGAAATTGTGTTTCGTGAACTATCACGGAGGTGTGTTAAGTAAAAGGCAAATCATTACTATGTATCCTTTGTAAAAATATTATGTTACTCCCATTGTTAATATGCAACGATCACCCAGTAACGACACTATTACGGTTTTGTATATAAATATCCTATTTGATACACAACGTGTAGTCATCCTACACCTTATGGCGGAAGATAACAGGACCAATTTGCAGATCTAATATCTGTGCGGTCACGAAATTACGTTGGGCCACAAAAAGGGCGGGTGGATGGGTCCATATGGGGCGCCTTTATGACGTGTCGTGAATTCTCTTGTATATTAACATTAGCAGATTGGACGAAATCGGAGCGAGTTTGTTGTCTCCACCATCTCCGGTTCGTTGGGGCGATGATATGTTTGCCGAGAACGGCTGATCAATACAACGACATCGATATTTGTCGTGTTTTGTTTTTCTCTCGTTTAGAAATTATGTGTGTTTTCTATCGCAACATTCGAAAATACTATATTGTCCGATCCGAAATTGTGAACGGTCATTGGGGACAGCAAATTAAGTGTTGACATACGCCGGGTGAACGTCCCCGGTTCAAACGAGTCGACAGACGTCCCGAAACAACGAAAATAGGCGTCACCTGTTTTTAAAATATATCTTTTAAAGCATCCACCTTTGCGAGTTCTGTCAGAATAGATCATGTTTCAATCGCCTCTCTGCTATTATGTACTTTGTGGTTTAAATTAGGAGGAACCGAGAAAAAACATTATTATGGAATTGGACAAAGTTTGACAAGCTTTGGTAACGATCTTTTGTATCTACGCGAATACTTTTGCGTTATTCGATAAAAAGTTTTTCACGGATTTTATCTCAATCACATGCCCGTCTGTTCTCTGTCTTTAATTATTTCTGTTCTTTATTCTAGACGTTAAAAACACTGCCTCGTTCAATCGTCATTGGTCAGAGTGTAGTGTTGTTAGATCTTGTGCTCGGTAAACCCTGGTTCCAAACCCTCTCTCTTCATTATGTTTTGGAGTTGAAACGTTCCGATAAATCACCTCGATCTATAATCACTGGTGATAATTGGTGTGTATTACTCTGAAAGCTTTCCAATAAAACTAGCTATTCCGGTCCATCCCGTCAGTTGATATTCATAATAGCTTGAATTTTCACATTCAAAAAAATATCGATTTATTTCGAGTAAAAATATCGATTTGTATCGTTTTCTCGGATTATAAAAGTTTGTTCTTGTTCAATTTGTATTTGTTAAGTCTTTACACAACGCAGGACTATCTTGTTATATATACTACAGTGAGGGAATATTATAAATGAAAAAAAAAGCGCATGCAACAACTGCGCAGAATGCGTTGGGGTTGCATTAAAGGGTTGCTGTCGACGGCATCCGGCGATTTTTGCGCGGGCGTATCGGCGCGTGAGATCTGATGCCGTCGGCCAACGGTTGCGGGTTCGATCCGTATCGTATCTCGCGATCGCGATAGAGGAATACACGGAGCGGAGTAATTACACGCTACGGTGGATAATCACCACACCCTTACTTCAACCCCGATATAAACAATTTTCTCGAATGGCAACAGTAATTTTTACGCAATAATAAAATATAAGTTTTTTTAAACGACATGCGAGCTGGTGGTTCGCCTCATGTTAAGTGATAACCGCCGCCCATGCAACATTTGGAACACCCGAGGGTTGCAGATGCGTTGCCACCATTTAAGAAAGTGGACACCGGCTACATCACTCACCAGAAGGAACGCAGAAGTAAGACCTCCACTTCACGCCGGTCTTCTGTATGGTAGTGATGCTTCCCAAGACGTACCTGCCCATTCTTGCAACAGGCATAAGACTGTTGCGTGAGCCTAATTTGTTTTGTAAAAAAGTAAAGTAACAGCCTATACATGTCCCACTGCTGGGCAAAGGCCTCCTCTATACAGAGGGTATCATGGCAAAGTCCACCACGCGGCCCCACTGCGGATTGGCGGACTTCACATATAAATATGCAGGTATCCTCACGATGTTTTCCTTCACCGCGGAGCACGTGATAAGTCAGCACTTAAAGTAAAAAAATTCCATTGGTGCCGGCACCGGGGATCGAACTCATGTTGCTCGAGTATATTGAATTAAAGGCGAGCGCCCGGACACTGAGCTATCACGGCTCTTTGTTTTGTAGTCATTGTTTTTTTTTGTGATACCCGGCGCCCATGGATATTTGTAACACCCATAGGGTTGCAAATTCGTCGCCACCTTTCAATAAAGTGGGCCCCGGCCACCTCACTCACCAGACACCACCACACTTACTTTACGCCGGTCTTCTGGTCGTGGTACTTACCCGGACGGTCCTGCCCATTCGTGCAACAGTGAACACTGTTGCGTGGCCCTACCGCAGTTTTTATTGTGTTTTTTGAAATGGTATAATCGAGTCTGGCCTTGAATAAATAAGGAGCGACTCGGCCTAATCATAAGTAGATGTTAGAAACTTAAGACCGGCGTGAAGCAGAAATACCGGTCACAGAATCGTAAAAATATAGTTTACTTCCCTTCTGTAAGGCTGAGCCAGCATGGATAGGAGTTAACTTCAGGCCTTTGCTGGGATATATAGATTGGGTTTACTGTCCTGTCCAACACTGTATATACTGTGGCGACAGCCGTTGCTAATATTTCGATGAATGTTTAATAATATATGAAACCGACTCGCCTAAATCATAATTCATAACACTCTTCAGCAATAACAAATTAAAATTATGAAACTCGATTCGTCGGTTGTTTATGCCTTTACTCACGTTGTAAACTTATACGTAGCGGTTCCTTTGAAGCAAGCGTTAGGTGCTCATGATCAATCTCTGTAGTGCACCGAGAGAAAATCTGGTGGTCGTGTGGGTCGAATGTTCGTTCACACTGATATGTCTTTAAGCGATAGCTTGCTGCGTCATTAAACAAAGGTATAGCATCACAATGCCGTATTCTATTGAACATTGAATATAATGTATGTAATATAATATTCAACAGCGACAAAACCGTTTCAATGGATAGTTTTTTTTAATTAGGACATGAGGTCTTGGCTTGAGGCATGAGGCTTGGTCATGTAACTTTTTATCCCAACGAATCGACATGACATGTTCACCACAGTACCCACGGTACTGTTATGCGTGCGAAAGAAATAAATAGACAGACGAAGTTAGTCGATTGTCTCTTACCGACGGTGGTCATCGTCATCCTCATTTCAGCCTGATTGAGTCCACTGTTGAACATAAGCCTTCAGATAAATCGCCACGAGGCACGATCCTGAGCCATCTTCATCCATTGACGTCCCGTACACTGACAGTAGTACTGCATGTTACTTTTGGCAGTAGGAATGTGTTCAGTGTACATAAAATGTGCATCGCATTTCATTAACCCGCTCTAACAAAGGCAAAGTGGCGTTATATTTTAATTATCTCCAACATAGCTGTACGATGACGTATGAAGAGCCCCTCAGGACCCACAGCGTTTCGAGTATCCCCCCCTCACTTGCGTTTTATTACGCCCCAACGTCCGGTCTAGACTTTAGGGCGCCAAGTCCGTTGCGGGCCGGACTCGTCGAATGTGCGAAGACTTAATGCAGTTAGTCCACAATAGAATGCGCTGTGACCTCATAACCTGCTTAGAGTTTGTACGGGCTCCGTCTACTATGGGATTATTGTCAGCCGCAGACTGTCGCCAAGCGGCGACTTAGGGTTGTAATCTGCCAACTATTTGCAATCGCGGGAACGACTTTTTTTCTTATCTAGCGAGCATTCCGTGCACTTAACGTTAAGCGATTACCGCCGCCCAATTACATCTACAACACCCGAGAAACGGATGCGTTGTCAACCTTTAAAAATCGGGCCCCACTTACCTCACTCGGCAGACGAAACTCGAATTATAATAATTCGAAATCAAGCTTGTCTTCTGTAACAGCTCTGTCGTTGTTCTACGTTTCTCCGCCACATGAGTAATACGATTGTGATTTTATCCGCGATTCGCTGTGCCAGCGATGGCAGCCCTAAGAGGCAAGCTGCCTTCTACTCAAAATGAACTCTAATGACGTTAATAGTTTTCCTCCATTCACTGTTGAATATTTAAATGTTCATTATAATGTGACACACTCTGGTGCTGCAGTCATTTGCTAGCTCCAATTTGTTTAAAAATGTAATTTACGGAAAATATCACTACATAGTATAAAACAAAGTCGTCTGTCTGTCCCTATGTATGCTTAGATCTTTAATACTCCCCAACGGATCTTCATGCGGTTTTTTTAATAGATAGAGTGATTCAAAAGGAAGGTTTATATGTATAATACATTGTACCCGTGCGAATCCGGGGCGGATCGCTAGTACTTATATATAACAGCTTAACATCGGATATTGTGATCTTAGAACTAGCTAACTCATAGTAAAGGTCGCAACGCATTTGCAACCCTACGGGTGTTGCAAATGTGATAATAAAATGATTAAGTGATTAAGTGATAACCGGTTATCACTTAACATCAGGTGACCGCCAGCTCGTTTGCCACTTTCT